TTATTTTATACAAAAATCTTTATAAATTCAAGTACAATAATAGCATCCAAACATCTATTTGTAAATTTTTAAACCGCATTTATTCATGTAATCAAAATTATTTTATACAAAAATCTTTATAAATTCAAGTACAATAATAGAATCCAAACATCTATTTGTAAATTTTTGAACCGCATTTATTCATGTAATCAAAATTATTTTATACAAAAATCTTTATAAATTCAAGTACAATAATAGCATCCAAACATCTATTTGTAAATTTTTAAACCGCATTTATTCATGTAATCAAAATTATTTTATACAAAAATTTTTATAAATTCAAGTACAATAATAGAATCCAAACATCTATTTGTAAATTTTTGAACCGCATTTATTCATGTAATCAAAATTATTTTATACAAAAATCTTTATAAATTCAAGTACAATAATAGAATCCAAACATCTATTTGTAAATTTTTGAACCGCATTTATTCATGTAATCAAAATTATTTTATACAAAAATCTTTATAAATTCAAGTACAATAATAGAATCCAAACATCTATTTGTAAATTTTTGAACCGCATTTATTCATGTAATCAAAATTATTTTATACAAAAATCTTTATAAATTCAAGTACAATAATAGAATCCAAACATCTATTTGTAAATTTTTAAACCGCATTTATTCATGTAATCAAAATTATTTTATACAAAAATCTTTATAAATTCAAGTACAATAATAGCATCCAAACATCTATTTGTAAATTTTTGAACCGCATTTATTCATGTAATCAAAATTATTTTATACAAAAATCTTTATAAATTCAAGTACAATAATAGAATCCAAACATCTATTTGTAAATTTTTGAACCGCATTTATTCATGTAATCAAAATTATTTTATACAAAAATCTTTATAAATTCAAGTACAATAATAGAATCCAAACATCTATTTGTAAATTTTTGAACCGCATTTATTCATGTAATCAAAATTATTTTATACAAAAATCTTTATAAATTCAAGTACAATAATAGCATCCAAACATCTATTTGTAAATTTTTAAACCGCATTTATTCATGTAATCAAAATTATTTTATACAAAAATTTTTATAAATTCAAGTACAATAATAGAATCCAAACATCTATTTGTAAATTTTTGAACCGCATTCATTCATGTAATCAAAATTATTTTATACAAAAATCTTTATAAATTCAAGTACAATAATAGAATCCAAACATCTATTTGTAAATTTTTGAACCGCATTTATTCATGTAATCAAAATTATTTTATACAAAAATCTTTATAAATTCAAGTACAATAATAGCATCCAAACATCTATTTGTAAATTTTTAAACCGCATTTATTCATGTAATCAAAATTATTTTATACAAAAATCTTTATAAATTCAAGTACAATAATAGAATCCAAACATCTATTTGTAAATTTTCGAACCGCATTTATTCATGTAATCAAAATTATTTTATACAAAAATCTTTATAAATTCAAGTACAATAATAGCATCCAAACATCTATTTGTAAATTTTTAAACCGCATTTATTCATGTAATCAAAATTATTTTATACAAAAATCTTTATAAATTCAAGTACAATAATAGCATCCAAACATCTATTTGTAAATTTTTAAACCGCATTTATTCATGTAATCAAAATTATTTTATACAAAAATCTTTATAAATTCAAGTACAATAATAGAATCCAAACATCTATTTGTAAATTTTTGAACCGCATTTATTCATGTAATCAAAATTATTTTATACAAAAATCTTTATAAATTCAAGTACAATAATAGCATCCAAACATCTATTTGTAAATTTTTAAACCGCATTTATTCATGTAATCAAAATTATTTTATACAAAAATTTTTATAAATTCAAGTACAATAATAGAATCCAAACATCTATTTGTAAATTTTTGAACCGCATTTATTCATGTAATCAAAATTATTTTATACAAAAATCTTTATAAATTCAAGTACAATAATAGAATCCAAACATCTATTTGTAAATTTTTGAACCGCATTTATTCATGTAATCAAAATTATTTTATACAAAAATCTTTATAAATTCAAGTACAATAATAGAATCCAAACATCTATTTGTAAATTTTTAAACCGCATTTATTCATGTAATCAAAATTATTTTATACAAAAATCTTTATAAATTCAAGTACAATAATAGAATCCAAACATCTATTTGTAAATTTTCGAACCGCATTTATTCATGTAATCAAAATTATTTTATACAAAAATCTTTATAAATTCAAGTACAATAATAGCATCCAAACATCTATTTGTAAATTTTTAAACCGCATTTATTCATGTAATCAAAATTATTTTATACAAAAATCTTTATAAATTCAAGTACAATAATAGCATCCAAACATCTATTTGTAAATTTTTAAACCGCATTTATTCATGTAATCAAAATTATTTTATACAAAAATCTTTATAAATTCAAGTACAATAATAGAATCCAAACATCTATTTGTAAATTTTCGAACCGCATTTATTCATGTAATCAAAATTATTTTATACAAAAATCTTTATAAATTCAAGTACAATAATAGAATCCAAACATCTATTTGTAAATTTTCGAACCGCATTTATTCATGTAATCAAAATTATTTTATACAAAAATCTTTATAAATTCAAGTACAATAATAGAATCCAAACATCTATTTGTAAATTTTTGAACCGCATTTATTCATGTAATCAAAATTATTTTATACAAAAATCTTTATAAATTCAAGTACAATAATAGCATCCAAACATCTATTTGTAAATTTTTAAACCGCATTTATTCATGTAATCAAAATTATTTTATACAAAAATCTTTATAAATTCAAGTACAATAATAGAATCCAAACATCTATTTGTAAATTTTTAAACCGCATTTATTCATGTAATCAAAATTATTTTATACAAAAATCTTTATAAATTCAAGTACAATAATAGAATCCAAACATCTATTTGTAAATTTTTAAACCGCATTTATTCATGTAATCAAAATTATTTTATACAAAAATCTTTATAAATTCAAGTACAATAATAGAATCCAAACATCTATTTGTAAATTTTTGAACCGCATTTATTCATGTAATCAAAATTATTTTATACAAAAATCTTTATAAATTCAAGTACAATAATAGAATCCAAACATCTATTTGTAAATTTTTAAACCGCATTTATTCATGTAATCAAAATTATTTTATACAAAAATCTTTATAAATTCAAGTACAATAATAGAATCCAAACATCTATTTGTAAATTTTTAAACCGCATTTATTCATGTAATCAAAATTATTTTATACAAAAATCTTTATAAATTCAAGTACAATAATAGAATCCAAACATCTATTTGTAAATTTTTAAACCGCATTTATTCATGTAATCAAAATTATTTTATACAAAAATCTTTATAAATTCAAGTACAATAATAGAATCCAAACATCTATTTGTAAATTTTTAAACCGCATTTATTCATGTAATCAAAATTATTTTATACAAAAATCTTTATAAATTCAAGTACAATAATAGAATCCAAACATCTATTTGTAAATTTTTAAACCACATTTATTCATGTAATCAAAATTATTTTATACAAAAATCTTTATAAATTCAAGTACAATAATAGAATCCAAACATCTATTTGTAAATTTTTGAACCGCATTTATTCATGTAATCAAAATTATTTTATACAAAAATCTTTATAAATTCAAGTACAATAATAGAATCCAAACATCTATTTGTAAATTTTTGAACCGCATTTATTCATGTAATCAAAATTATTTTATACAAAAATCTTTATAAATTCAAGTACAATAATAGAATCCAAACATCTATTTGTAAATTTTTAAACCGCATTTATTCATGTAATCAAAATTATTTTATACAAAAATCTTTATAAATTCAAGTACAATAATAGAATCCAAACATCTATTTGTAAATTTTTGAAAAACTTTGGGAGGAGTTGAAATTTTGCCAACGCTAAGTCTTTTGGAAAAGGGTTCAATAATGGAACGAGGCCTATAAGCCCTGAAAGAGAATTGAATTGGCTATAAAATGAGTATAAAAATTTTTTAAAAATGTCAACGAGAAAAAAAGTTATGGCGAAATGAAAAGTGTACAATTACTTTCTTGTCACCCTTTATGTAATCAAAATTATTTTATACAAAAATAATTCCAATGGGCAAGAACCAAAAATGCATCCTTTTTTTGCGCCAAAAATCCAAATTTTTGTCAATGACGTTCGATATTTTTTTCGATTTTTTGTAATTTGGTCGGTTGATTGTTACGATTTTAAATTGTTTCGGTCGATATTCGAAAAATATCGTATCGAGCCGGGCTTAATATAAATCATCCATATCCCTGGCCATATTTTGGGCCATAACTTTTTTGATTCTTAACCGACTTAAATTATTATATCAATTGAAAGCCCTGGATGTGAAGATTATTTTCGCCAACAGGATTGATTTGATCAGATCATGTTATAAAAAGTTATATCTCGATAAATGCGCTCAATCGTGATTTTGATCTTTATCTGTCTGTAACTTTTTGTATGATGATCTGATCAAATCAATCCTGTTGGCGAAAATGATCCTCCCATCCAGCTTTCAATTGATATATTATATAATTAAATCAATAAAAAATTGAAAAAGTTATGGCCCAAAATATGGCCAGGTATACAAACGGCCGGTACTCAATGATCCCCCACCCGTAAAAGCGAGAATGAAATAAATGTAAACTTTCATTTAATCAAATAAAAGAAAATATTTCATTTAACCAAAAACAAGTGAACACAAAAAACAAAGAGCATAGCGATAAAAAATAAAAATAGTATGTGAAATGAACTCGTTAGTGAAGTCAAATTGTTATTGTTTTGGGGTGGATCGAAGTGCGAGTATAACCAATCCTGTATTTCCATTCACTAATTTTTAGGACGTTTTTAATCATTTTATTAGTTTTTCTTTTAATTTAAAACTTTTTAGATTGTTACCATAGATCATAATTTATCTTTTATTGCAATTAAACTCAACTTCATCTTCATTATTGCTTATTGATTTTTTAAAATGCCGTTTGTTTGCCATGAGTACACTTTACCTAGTGATTTTAGATTTTGGACAACGAATTACCTTCCTATTACCTTTTCCCAATTTTCTCCCTTTGAATATCGACTTACTTTCCGTAGCAACAAAAAAATTTTCCAAGCGAAAATCCAGTTGTAATTTTGTTTAGAATCATCGATTAAAGCTTACTTTGTTGCCCCCATGGTTTTTGACCATTTCGGGCCGTATTGTTTCCGCGGACTAATTTTAGTGTCGTTCTACTCTCTCGCCGAAACTTTCGAATGACATATAAACTGTCCAATCTAAAATTGCCTGGAAAAGTAGTACTTTCTTTAAATTGTAATTTTATGATTTATTATAGATATATTCGTGAAGGACAAGTGGATTTAGAGAGCTTTGAAACTGCTCGTTATGGATTTTTTTGGAAAAAACTTACTGGAAATGTTCGCACTACTGGAGCTTATATTCGTTGTTCGGTATAAATTTATTAAAAAATCTGAATTTTGAATTTTTAACTTGTCTGAATTTTTAATCTGAATTTTTAACTTGTTTCTGGGCTTAATTTTGGGGCCTATACCTTGTGCCTAGAAATTTCAAATTTGCTCGTATTTGTACCACCTTTGATTTTGGTACTCCTACGGTTTAAGGGGGCCGCAGTTCTTTGACTATTTTTGTCATTCAGAAACTGGTGATAGTCTATATGATTTTTGGCACCAAATTTCCATTGACCCCCGTTATACGACCCAAGTTATTGTAAAAAATAATTGTAGAGTAAAGTATTAATTTTGATTGATAGAAAAGTTAAAATATCAGTCTCAAAATGGTCAGAGAACTCCGGCCCATTAAACTGAAGAAGTGTCCTGATTTCAACCTAGAAATTACCTTAATCACTCGCTTCCATAAGGGAGAATAAAAGAGAATAGTTTCATTTCTTTTAAATTTCTATTTAATAAGTACGAACTAGTTTTGTTCTTACCTCGCATCATCCCTATTTTCTGCTTGTACCAAGTACGAGAACGAATTTTGGTACGAGCATCCAAACAATGCCTGAATATCGTCACTTATTTTTAATTTAGGCAAGAGATGAGAATGGACGTTTAATTTGTAATGCAAGAATTAAAGGAAAATTTGAAGATGGAGTGGTTAAAATTTATAATAACGGTATTAGTCATAATATTGAGCATCCTGCTCACCACTTTCCTCGTTAGTAGGGTGTTCTAGGAGATGCATCCTTTTGGAAAATTTTTTCTAATTTCTTTTCGTTTATTTTGCTCGTGATGCATCTCTTTTTTTATTTTTTGTCGTTGATTATTAAAAAATTTTTATTATAAAGATTTTTTATTGTATTTTTTAGTTACCAGTTTCTTTTTTATATTTAATTAAAGAAACTTTGAGTCCAAACAGAATTGAATGCACAAGCGCCTCGCCAACGCCCATAGATTACGTTGTTTGATTTTGTGTTATTTTCGAATAAATTTGATAAATTCAAATTCGACAGCCCACCCATCAAACACTAATGTTACTGGTTCTATTTTTGGGCTAACTAAGAAAGGTTGCGAGGTGTCCGACCTAAAAACGGTAGAGACCGGACTCATTCGATATAGAATTTGGACTTTCTGGCAAGGATTTTGAGCCGTTTTTGCCCTTTCTTGATCTGGTCAAGATATGGCCCTCCAAAGTCCCAAAATTTAGTATAATCCCCCCCCTCCCCACCAAATATAAACTAAATAATGGGTTAATTTTGTTGGTGTAGTGATGAGTGTGCTTGCGTTACCCTTTTCCTCTAAAAAGTTCGACTCTTTTTTGGGTTTTTTATCTAATTGTTTTAGACATTATTTATTCCTTTTTCAAAAATATGATACAATATATAAAAATTATTGAAACAAAAGAATTGCATTCAAAAGGGGACACAATAGCTTGCCCTCATTGACAATATTTGGATGGGAAGACAAACGACGAAGAATGTGTAATTCGCGTAAATCCCTAGCTTTTAGAATATTTGTTCGTTTCATTGGGACCAGTTGTGAAGTCTGTTCATCTGTAACAAAATTTAATTAATTGTTGCTCGGTAAACAAAAGAAAATTATCCATTTATTGCGTCGTAAATTTGAACATCCTCAGAAAAAGCTAAAATAGAGGAATTATTTTCGCCGAAGATTTTGAAGTGGTGAAGAAGGGAGGAGGTCGGGAAAAACAATTCCCCTTGGATCTTTAAACTGTGTTAGGCAAACGGACTTTTTCAATAACAATATCGAAGTAGTGATAAGTACAATTATTGAAAGTGGCCGACGAAAAATTTCCGGTAGTTATTGCAATCGAATTTTTTTGTTCTTCCATATATTCTTCACCACTTCTGTCTGAAGCTAAATAAGTAACCTCTTTTTTAACCATTTTTTCAGAATTTTTTAGTAAACGAGCTTTGGCCAAAATTGCATTTAATTCTTCACTAGCATCGTCATCTTCAATTTGTATTGGTGCGACATTGGTAGGCAGAAATTCTGAATAAAAAATAAAGTTTTTTTTATTTAAGGAGGTATACTTAGTAATTGGACCAGGGATGTCACAGGTTGAGAAAAAAATCCGGCCTTCAAAAGTGTTTTTAATGCTTTTTTACGTGACCGCCCAATATCACCCTGATATTCAATTTAGACCCATCTAATTTCTAGATATCCCACTTAATTTTTAATCTTAATGAAATAAAGGAGACAACTATGCCATGCTTTGAAAATCAGAGGAAATTAGATTACGATTCCTCTCGCTGATTTCCTCTTGAAAATCAGAGGAAATTAGATTACGATTTCTCTCGCTGATTATACGATTCCTCTCGCTGAGCTTAGCCGATCCTAAAGTGATAATGCGTTTGCGTTATTTCCGGCTGTCACGTGCGCTCACCCCTGGTTCTAAGTTAAACGCCAACCTAACAAACAGTCGTAGCGTGCAGCTCCCAAGATAAGCTCTGGAGGGCGATAGAATCTGTTTCCAGTATAATTTCGTCGGTATCGATTAATATAACGAGCCAAACAGATAGCTGATCCAAAATCGGCAATTGTAAGACGTCCTGTAATTGGATTGACTAATAAATTTGTTGGCTTAATAATATCCCGATGAATTATGTTTAGCTAAAAGGAAATGGAAAATTTTGAAGATTTTAGACGTATTAACCTTTTTAAGAAGATCCAATACCGCGAATAATTGCCACATACAAAGCTTTATATCGAGCACATTTATATTTTGGAAATACTCTGTTTTAAGCTGAGCTAATGTTGCAGGAACAAATTCGAACACTAAACTATAAGCAGCCTGAAAATAGATTTACCAGAAAATTAATTTTTATTTAAGTGCTGGGAATCAGGAGTGGGCGCAAGGGACAATTGGCAAAAACGCAACGCAAACCAAAATTTAACGTAAATAGCACAAAACGCAATGCGTCCGCTCCAGCTGGGAATGTATTTATCTAGATTAATAAATTGTATACCAAATTTCCCCAAGATTTGAGCCATGTTATTGGGGTTTGATACGGTCCCCGAAGGTTTAACCCGATATCCACCTCCCTTCCCAACCTTGAGACGGCCTTTCATCAATTTCTTACCTACACCATAGCTTCCCGTCATTGACAAAATTTGGATGAGGTTGACGATGAGAAGACAATCAGCGAAGAATGTGCAACTCGCGAAAATATCTAACTTTTAGAATATTTGTTCGTTTTATTGGGACCAGTTGTGAAGGCTGTTCATCTTGGTACTTATTGGTTATCCCAAAGTAGTTTTTGCGGACATTTTATGCGGACTCATTTATGTACGAAAAGGTCAAAAGTTCTCCCTTCCTCAACTTCATTCAATTTTCCCTGTGGCATCATTCAATGAGAGCATCAGTAAAAAGATTAATTTTTCTTTCTAATGCCATCAACATAGAAATTAACATTTGAATCAATATTCTTATTTTTATTTCAGTCATTCAAAATCATTTTCTATGTATGGTGATGGGGCGACCTTCGTGCTTCATTTTTTCGGGCCGGCTCGACCGGGTCTTTGACGAGCCAGAATTCAATGCCCGACTCGATCTTTCGGACCGGGCCCCCAACTTAGCATAGACTGATAAATCAGTTTTGTCTGCCAGAAAAAACGTGTTTTGTATGGACTGTATTCTGGAAGGCCCTCACCTTATTTCGCCTGTTTTGCCCCTCACCCATTTGCGTGTATACATATTTAAAAATCGGTCATTTGTATTTAAAATTAATCTTTTCTTTACTGATGCTCTCATTGAATGATGCTACAGGGAAAATTGAATAAAATTGAGGAAGGGAGAACTTTTGACCTTTTCGTACATAAATGAGTCCGCATAAAATGTCCGCAAAAACTACTTTGGGATAACCAATAAGTACCTTCATCTTTACCGTCTTACAAAATTTTATTAATTGTTGCTCGGTAAACAAAAGAAAATTATCCATTTATTGCGTCGTAAATTTGAACATCCTCAGAAAAAGCTAAAATAGAGGAATTATTTTCGCCGAAGATTTTGAAGTGGTGAAGAAGGGAGGAGGTCGGGAAAAACAATTCCCCTTGGATCTTTAAACTGTGTTAGGCAAACGGACTTTTTCAATAACAATATCGAAGTAGTGATAAGTACAATTATTGAAAGTGGCCGACGAAAAATTTCCGGTAGTTATTGCAATCGAATTTTTTTGTTCTTCCATATATTCTTCACCACTTCTGTCTGAAGCTAAATAAGTAACCTCTTTTTTAACCATTTTTTCAGAATTTTTTAGTAAACGAGCTTTGGCCAAAATTGCATTTAATTCTTCACTAGCATCGTCATCTTCAATTTGTATTGGTGCGACATTGGTAGGCAGAAATTCTGAATAAAAAATAAAGTTTTTTTTATTTAAGGAGGTATACTTAGTAATTGGACCAGGGATGTCACAGGTTGAGAAAAAAATCCGGCCTTCAAAAGTGTTTTTAATGCTTTTTTACGTGACCGCCCAATATCACCCTGATATTCAATTTAGACCCATCTAATTTCTAGATATCCCACTTAATTTTTAATCTTAATGAAATAAAGGAGACAACTATGCCATGCTTTGAAAATCAGAGGAAATTAGATTACGATTCCTCTCGCTGATTTCCTCTTGAAAATCAGAGGAAATTAGATTACGATTTCTCTCGCTGATTATACGATTCCTCTCGCTGAGCTTAGCCGATCCTAAAGTGATAATGCGTTTGCGTTATTTCCGGCTGTCACGTGCGCTCACCCCTGGTTCTAAGTTAAACGCCAACCTAACAAACAGTCGTAGCGTGCAGCTCCCAAGATAAGCTCTGGAGGGCGATAGAATCTGTTTCCAGTATAATTTCGTCGGTATCGATTAATATAACGAGCCAAACAGATAGCTGATCCAAAATCGGCAATTGTAAGACGTCCTGTAATTGGATTGACTAATAAATTTGTTGGCTTAATAATATCCCGATGAATTATGTTTAGCTAAAAGGAAATGGAAAATTTTGAAGATTTTAGACGTATTAACCTTTTTAAGAAGATCCAATACCGCGAATAATTGCCACATACAAAGCTTTATATCGAGCACATTTATATTTTGGAAATACTCTGTTTTAAGCTGAGCTAATGTTGCAGGAACAAATTCGAACACTAAACTATAAGCAGCCTGAAAATAGATTTACCAGAAAATTAATTTTTATTTAAGTGCTGGGAATCAGGAGTGGGCGCAAGGGACAATTGGCAAAAACGCAACGCAAACCAAAATTTAACGTAAATAGCACAAAACGCAATGCGTCCGCTCCAGCTGGGAATGTATTTATCTAGATTAATAAATTGTATACCAAATTTCCCCAAGATTTGAGCCATGTTATTGGGGTTTGATACGGTCCCCGAAGGTTTAACCCGATATCCACCTCCCTTCCCAACCTTGAGACGGCCTTTCATCAATTTCTTACCTACACCATAGCTTCCCGTCATTGACAAAATTTGGATGAGGTTGACGATGAGAAGACAATCAGCGAAGAATGTGCAACTCGCGAAAATATCTAACTTTTAGAATATTTGTTCGTTTTATTGGGACCAGTTGTGAAGGCTGTTCATCTTGGTACTTATTGGTTATCCCAAAGTAGTTTTTGCGGACATTTTATGCGGACTCATTTATGTACGAAAAGGTCAAAAGTTCTCCCTTCCTCAACTTCATTCAATTTTCCCTGTGGCATCATTCAATGAGAGCATCAGTAAAAAGATTAATTTTTCTTTCTAATGCCATCAACATAGAAATTAACATTTGAATCAATATTCTTATTTTTATTTCAGTCATTCAAAATCATTTTCTATGTATGGTGATGGGGCGACCTTCGTGCTTCATTTTTTCGGGCCGGCTCGACCGGGTCTTTGACGAGCCAGAATTCAATGCCCGACTCGATCTTTCGGACCGGGCCCCCAACTTAGCATAGACTGATAAATCAGTTTTGTCTGCCAGAAAAAACGTGTTTTGTATGGACTGTATTCTGGAAGGCCCTCACCTTATTTCGCCTGTTTTGCCCCTCACCCATTTGCGTGTATACATATTTAAAAATCGGTCATTTGTATTTAAAATTAATCTTTTCTTTACTGATGCTCTCATTGAATGATGCTACAGGGAAAATTGAATAAAATTGAGGAAGGGAGAACTTTTGACCTTTTCGTACATAAATGAGTCCGCATAAAATGTCCGCAAAAACTACTTTGGGATAACCAATAAGTACCTTCATCTTTACCGTCTTACAAAATTTTATTAATTGTTGCTCGGTAAACAAAAGAAAATTATCCATTTATTGCGTCGTAAATTTGAATATCCTCAGAAAAAGCTAAAATAGAGGAATTATTTTTACCAGATTTTTAGGAGGTGAAGAAGGGAGGAGGTCGGGAAAAACAATTCCCCTTGGATCTTTAAACTGTGTTAGGCAAATGGACTTTTTCAATAACAATATAAGAAGTACCGAAAAATACTAGTATAACTAATTTTTCAGAATTTTTAGTAAACGAGATTTAGCCAAAATTGCATTTACTTATTCACTAGCATCGTCATCTTTAATTTGTATTTATTGGTGCAACATTGCTGGGCAGAAATTCTGAATATTTTTTTTAACTGAAGTAGTGATACTTAGAAATTGGACAAGAAATGTCAAATCAAAAGTCCCGGTTTCGGATCAGTTAGGGAAATTAAGAAAATAAGACGGATCGGAAAAAGTTGGGTTTCTGGTATTTTTTAGATTTACACATAAAAGGAATTAGAAACAGAAGAACTCTAAAATTATAATCCCTAAAAATAAACAACAAAGAACCTTCTTCATCGTCCTCATCCTCTTCTCTCTTTTTAATCTTTTCAGCTAATATATCCAACATTTTAACATCAACATTAACTTTCGGTTTTTTCCATTTTTTCTGATCTGGAGGAGGCAAGGCAAAGGAATCTTTTGATTGTTTTAACTAAAAAATATTTTATGAATTTATAAAAATTTATAAAAATAACTAAAAAATGACTTTAGGATGTAGAGGAAAAAGTATGAAAAGAATCATGATCATACTTTCAAATGATTGATTACCTTAAGAATACACTAAAAATGAATCGATGATGACACGTGATGTAGAGAAAAAAACCCACAGAAAATTATACGCCAAGAAAAGTCAAGGTTCTAAAAGCCTCTAAGGCGGGGTTTACAAAAATCTCATTTTGAATTTATACTGACTATGAAAGGCCGGGCTTCCCTAAACTTGAACTACTTTCAACTTAAAACGCAATCCGAAGATAATTTTAAAATTCATCAAAACACGACTTTTCTCCGGACCCGACCCATTCTAGCTATTTGTAAGGGCCACAAGTTAATTTTATTAAAATATAACAAAAACCTCTTTTTTATTTTAAACAATTTCACCTTCTTCCATAACAACAGAACGAGAAGAAATGAAAAAGATGCATTCAAAAAAATTTTTTGTGTAATAAATTGAGTTCAATTGATAAATTAATTGAATTTAAAAAAGAATAAATTGAAATTTTTTTGATGAAAAAATATTGAGACGTGATTCAAGAATTGTTATTGAAGTATTGTTGTTGCTGCTCCAAACTGATAGCAGTTGTTACAAATTCACCTCCAATTCGTCTCTTCTTTGGTTGGAAAAGTTCTTGAAAGAATTCGTCACGTAATAAAGGACGTCCATTTAAGCGTTTTCTTGGGTTAAAATGAAGTATTTTGACGAGTAATGATGCTGGATTTTGCTCAGGAGAATAATCTTTTTGTTCAAAAATCTGAAAATTTTAAGGGATTAAATAATAAGGATATTTTTTGTTAAAGCAATAATTCATTAAAAAGTATTTGAACCCAATCAGAAACACGACTTTCCCTCCCGGCCCATCCCAGGGATATAAATTAATTTTATTAAAATATAATATAATCTTTTTTACTTTCAACAATTTCACCTTCTTCCATCACAACAGAACGAACAACTTTTGAAGAACCATTAGATTCCTTCATTGTATCACGAAAAGATTTTCCTCCTCCCTCTTCCCCCATTTCTTGTTGAGCTCTCCTAGCAGCCAATTTTTCTTCTCTAATTTTTTTCTCTTCTTCAGTTTCTTCCAAAGGTTCCAATTCTGCTGTTTTTAATGCTTTTTTACGTAAATTTTTTGAAGTTTTCTTTTTGAGACGACGGAATTGAATAACTTCTTCCTTTAATTTTTATAAAAAAAATTAATTAAAAATTTGGGTCCGCCATCAAGGTCAAATAAACCTTAAAGGTTATCTTCAAACGGTCGAATTATTCCCCCCCCCCCTCCTTTGCCTATAAGAAAGTTGCACAAAAGCTTATATTCATCAATTCCAAGAAATCCATTTTAATCAGCCCAAATCTATCGAAATTTCTCTTAATACCCACAAACGTCTTAATCTTCACAAAAACTCTCTTACACACAAAGCTGGAATTGATTCTAAACTTTTGGGAGATTACCTTCCTTGTGGGTTGATCCCAAAAAATTTGTTTAATAAAAAAAACCTCCGTATAAAATTCATTCGTCAAAGTGTATTTCGTCTCTCCCAAAGATTCAAACTTTTTATTTACCATCATTAATTTACGTTTAGCTTCTGCTTCCTTGGCTTCTTTATCCAAATCATAATGTCCAGTTTCATCTTTAAAAAAACCTTAAATTCAGAATTAGCGAAAGAAACTGTTTAATGATAACAGAATAAACGGGTAAAATCGAAAGAAAATGGTTATGTGGGAGGAAAAAGGCCTTCTCCTGAAAAAGTTGGCTGTTCAATCCCTTAAAAACTGGTAGTAAAGAATTCTAAAAAGTGATGATTGTTCCAAACCCTAAAAGTTGAGATACTGACTCAATCCCCACTTGGTACTCCCATCACGCAAAGCTGTCCCCGAGGCAATCCCTTCCCTCTACTGACTCATCGTAGATATGGAATCAAAGCTCTCCCAACCACGAAAAAACCAAAAAGCTTCAACAATCGTATTTCTGATGGTTCCAAAAATAAATCCGGGTTCAATTTGGCCGGGTTCAAATCCGGGTTCAGTATGGCGTAGAACCCCCTAACCCTTCTAGTCCTCAAAACCAAAAAACTTTTTAAAGAAAAACCCTCCCAGTCCCCTAACCCAAAAAAAATTCCAAAAAAACCTAATCGAAAAGTTTCCTTCTTTTTATTTTCTCCATCCATTCCCTCATTATATTTATCCAAAATTTCTTTCCTTTTAATTTGTCCAAATTCATCAATTTCTTCTTCTTCATAAGCTTGGTAATGCGTTGCTTTTTTCTTTCTTCTTTCCACATTTAATTTTGTCCTTTCATTTTCTACCATATTTGGATTTATTAAAATTTCTTCGTCGGCGTCTTTCCCATCGAGAAGTAAACCTTTGAAGAAAAATTTTTTGAAAGAATTTTTAAAAATAAAAAAAAACTTTTGTCCTGCAAAACTAAAATTGTTTCTCTTCCTTCTTTAAAGTCTTGAACAGAATGACCAACAATTAATCCGCCAGAAGAGGGTTCTGTCTAAAAATTGAGAAATTTTGCTTATGAAAAAAAAATAATAGGGACAGGCCCGTAGCAGGGGGAACCCCCCCCCCCCCCCGAAATGAGGAAATGGAAAAAATTTGGGGAAGGGTTTGGGCAAATATGACTAAAAAAATGACTTTTTAGCATATGACTAGTAAATCAAAAAACGTATTTGTCGTGTTGTCGTGTTAATTTTCACTTTTTCCTAATCAATTCACTAGCCTTAGAAAAACAGGAAATTTGGGAAAATTGAGAAAGAATAACTAAAACAAGGTGGGAAATTACCCGCCCTATGTGAGAGATGTGACCAAACAAATTCTATTTAATTAAGACCAAGGAACCCTTACCAAAGGCGTAGTCAGAGGAGAGGGGGGGGTGTTCTTGCGTTATAGCCCCCTTAAATGGGAGGGGGGGGGGGGGGCTATCGTGTTCAGAACGCCAAAGTAAACGGCAAAATTTTGGCACACCCGCATTTTAGCCCCCCCCTAAATCGACCTCCTGGCTACACACTTGGCCCTTACCTATTTCAAAATTAAAAAAATTTTCTCAACAAACCTCAACATTTCCTCCTCTTTTCTTATTCAATTTTTTCAATTGTTCCTCTCTAAGCAAAGCCCCAATTCCAAAAGACTCATCCATCTCTTCCAATTCTTTTTCCTTTTCCTTAGCTTTTTTCATTTCCTCCTCAATCCTTCTCGACCTTTCAATCCATTTTTTTGTGTTTTCAATTTCTTCGTCTTCTTCCTCAGCCAAATTTTTTGATTTTAACACTTTTGAATGTAAATCCCTTTGACGCTTTTTGTTTTCCAATTTTTCTTTAAGCTCTTTTTGACGTTTTTCTTCTGACCAATTTCGTGAGGGCTTGTGCACTATTTCTACGCCGTCTTCGGTAAATACCTGGAAATTTTTGGAAGTTAAAAATGGGTCAAATAAACTAGAAAATTAAAAAATTCTAAAAATAAGAAAACTGTTCGAAAATAACGAATAATTAAAGGATTTATGGCCTATTGACAGAGACGTAACCAAAAAAATATAAAATTCAACATTTTCAACCCCTTCAAATTTTACTAGCTCAAAAAGATTTTTCACGGACAATTTTTGGGACTTTTTCTCTTTTAACCCTTAACTTATTTGTTTCTGAATTGGTAAGAGGGAAGATTTTAAAAAAAGATAGGGGCAATTAAAAGACTAATTTCATCATTACAAAATAGAAAAAACAGAAAAAAATTTGTGTTACATGTAAAAACTGAAGACCTACTTAAATCTAATAATCACTTTTTACGCTGTTTTGCGGACTTTTTTTCTCTTTAAAACTCATAATCGTTTTCTCAGATAATTACTCAAAAGTAATTTTGTGACGAGTTAATTTGTGTAGTCAATTTTACAATTTACCTATAACCTAAAATTAATCCGTCTTGACAAAAAAATCAATAAAAAGCAACCCAAAGAACGGCAGGGAAAAGTCCGCAAAAAGTAATCCGCAAAACTGGAACCTAAAAATGTGCCAGAACCCTTCCCAAAAAAAATAATTGATAAACAACCTTTTCCCCACTTCCATCCTCCTTCTCCACCGGTTCCGTGCTTGTTTTATCATCCGAATCTAAAGGCGCTAGTCCAAGTTTAGCCCTCAATTTGTTTGTTTCTTCAATTGACATTGACTCTTCACTAAAATAAATTTTTAGAAAAATTTTTAAAATTCAAAAAAAACTTTTTTGAAGGGGAGGAATCGTCTTCCTTACGTCTCTTCGACCTGAAATTTGAATTTAAATAGAATTTTAAAAAAATTTAAAGAAAACTTTTTGGGTGAACGCGATCTTGAACGACGATGTCTTCGACTTTCTTCCCTGTCTTCTTCAATGGAGGTGTCAGCATCCAAATCTCTTTTTCGATTTTTTTCGTGTTTCGATGGCATTTTTAACTGAAAAGAATAAAAACCAATTAACATAAGCGTGGTTTTTACTCCAAAATGTAGAACTAACCGAAACATCACCTCCCCTAGTATCTTTAAAATCTTCGTAAATCCGTCTAAATTCCATAGACTGCGCAAAGCCTTAACTTGCTTCAAGATTTTCTTATCTTACCAGATTTAGTATCAAACGATACCTCTCATCGAGATAGGAAAACTGGTACCAAAATTGATTTTTTTCCAGATATTTTTCAGCATGTTATGACTTTGCACCGCTATGGCCGCGCGCCGTTTTGGGCTGTACCCTCCAAAAATATAGGGGGAAAATTGGGGAGGAAAAAAGGGGGTCTGTCTGGTTCAATATTACCGATTTTCGACTTTCTTCCCCTCCCTTCACTCGACCAATAAATTTAAAAATTAATTTAAGAAGAATCAACCGACAAAACTGAAAATCACGGTTATGACTCAAAAACAATTAATGAACAAAATGAAACTGTTGTTGAGGATAGTGATGAGACGAATGACTGGAACAGGAAAAAAATTTATTTTTGGAAGAATTTTTTGACTTATTGTTAGAATAAAGTTTTTGTAGTTAAAAAAAATTTTGTGGCGGAATTGCTACGACACAACTGGGGATGATTTCGCTTTAGAAAATTTGGTTGTACTGCTGTTGTGGTAGTTGCTGCTGATGGGGTTGATGGGGTTGAAGTACTGAAAAATTCAAAAAATTGTGGACTTGTTTTTGTGGATTTGCCCTTCTTGATTCGGTGAGATAGACAAAAAAAGAAAGTTTTCTACTGTTAGCGCCCCTTGAATCTTGGCCAATATCATAGTTAGGTAACTGTCCGGAAGTTTTGTCCGCAAATACCAGGGATGTCACGGTTACCCGAAACCCGGCCTTTTTTTCGACCCGATACCCGACCCGAGAAATTTTCTAAAACCCGATCCGAGGAAAATTTTCGAAACCCGACCTGAAACCCGACACGACATTTTTCTCAACACGTGACATCCCTGCTGCCCATATACCTCGCTGCCCTTCACTTCCCAATTTTCATTTTTTAACTCACTGCCCAAATCGCATATGGCATATCAACAGACGCGGTTACAGTCAAGTTATTTTTTCAAAAATTAAAAGGATGCCATTGTCTCATCATTTTATACACTATTTTCATATTTTATCTGCATTCCCTTTGTTTTTCGTGTTCTCTCGTTTTTGGTTAAATGAAATATTTTCTTTTATTTGATTAAATGAAAGTTTACATTTTTTTCATTCTGTCGCGTTTTTGTTGTTTCTCTACGCAGAAAATCTTTTTTTGTTTTTGTTTCTACTTTTTTTCGTTTTTAGCAAATCTTCAGATTTTTATTAAATTTTTAGTTTAATTTCTTTATTTCAATGGCATTTAGACGGATTTACGAAGACTTTAAAGATGCAAGGGGAAGTGATGTTGAGGTTAGTTCTTTAAAATCTTCGGCAAAAATAATTCTTGTATTTTAGCTTTTTGTAAGAGATGTACAAGTGCACGACGCAATGAATGGAGCATTTTCTTTTGTTTACAGAGCAACAATTAATAAAGTTTTGGAGGATGGTACTGATGAAGAGCCTTCACAACTGGTCGCAATAAAACGAACAAATATTCTAAAAGCTAAGGATTTTCGCGAGTTACACATTCTTCGTCGTTTGTCCTCTCATCGTCAACCACATCCGAATATTGCAAATTTAATGTATTATCAACGACGGGAAGTTATGGTCGAGGTAAGAGAATAAAGTGCTGAGTATACTTTAAGAAATTAAAATTGAAAGAGATCTTAATTTTGTCTATAACAAGGCTTAAATTTGGGAGAAATTGGAGCGTAATTTAATAATCCAATAAATAATACTCAGCACCTAAGTAAAAATTAACTTTCATGTAAATCTATTTTCAGGCTGCTTATAGTTTAGTCTTCGAATTTGTTCCCGCAACATTAGCTCAACTTAAAACTGAGTATTTCGAAAATAGAAATGTGCTCGATATAAAGCTTTGTATGTGGCAATTATTCGCGGGATTGGATCACCTTAAGAAGGTTAATACGACTGAAATATTCAAAAATTTTCCATTACCTTTTAGCTAAACATAATTCATCGAGATATCAAGCCAACAAATTTATTAGTTAATCCAACGTCAGGACGTCTTACAATTGCCGATTTTGGATCAGCTATCTATTTGCCTCGTTATATTAATCGATACCAACTAAATTATATTGTTGATAGATTCTATCGCCCTCCAGAGCTTATCTTGGGAGCTGAACGCTACGACTGTTTGTTAGGTTGGCGTTTAAACTTTCGAAATGTATTAAAACATCGGAAAAATTCCGTCATATGTCCCGTAAACCGATTAGGACTAACGATATGCCAATGGACCGAGATATAGGTCTCCGAAAATCGAAAACCACTGGGTGAACCAAACATTTTTCGAATGAAAAATTCGATTTTACAAATGATATCTCACTATATCTCGGCCGATTTGTGAGTCCCGAAGCTGATTTTGTTGTCGTTCGACTCAGCTCGGCGAGATCTTTCGAAAGACAAATCTTCAGTCCGAATCGGTTTCCGCGACATATGATGGAATTTTATTAAATTTTCTTATAGATGTGTGGTCGGCCGGTTGTGTATTTGCTGAACTCTATTTGGGTGAAGCACTTTTCAAAGGCAACAGCCAAATAAACCAATTACAATTCATTTATACTAAACTCGGCACACCTACTGTTCATGACTTAAAGTGTATGCGTGTTGATGTTGACACTTTTATACCGGCTGTTAAATCTCAAGCTGTTAATCCATTTCAAGAGCTTTTTACGGTATGTAAATATATTCGTCAATTCGTTGAAAAAGCTTTTCTCTGAAAAGTAAAATAATTTTGTTTTAGTGAAGTTTTTTCAAAAATTTGAATTGGGTTATTATAGTTGACGTATTTTTAAGGAAATATTTGTTATGTTTGTCTGAGGAAATCAATTGTCTAATGCAGAGTATCGATATCTGTGGATTTTTCCTCATTTTCTGGTTTTTTCATAGGGCGATGAGGATTATTTTTTAAAATGCGGATTTGCGAATTTTTTGGTCTTTTGAAGATTACGAGGATTTTTTCATATTTTCTTGTAGTTTTTAGGATAAAATGTCATTATTTTTCTGCTAAGACCCTCAAACTTTTCGCCTGCGGCGATTAAAATGTAATTCAATTGTTGAAGTTAAAAAATTTACGTTTAAAGTGATTTTAATTCAATTTTTGTGTTTATAATTTTTTGCGGATTTTTGATATAAAATGCGGATTTTTTTCGATCAAAATTACGGATTTTTAAAAATTTGAAATCGAAACCCTGGTCTAATAACTTTTTAATAAATATTAATAAATAACTTTTTGATAATATATTATTTAATCCCTTAAAATTTTCAGATTTTTGAAGAAAAAGATTATTCTCCTGAGCAAAATCCAGCATCATTACTCGTCAAAATACTTCATTTTAACCCAAGAAAGCGCTTAAATGGACGTCCTTTATTACGTGACGAATTCTTTCAAGAACTTTTCCAGCCAAAAAAGAGACGAATTGGAGGGGAACTTGTAACAAATGCTATCAGTTTAGAGCAGCAACAACAATACTTCAATAACAATTATTGAATCACGTCTCAATATTTTTTCATCGAAGAAATTTTCAATTTATTCTTTTTTAAATTCAATTTTCAATTAATTTATCAATTGAACTCAATTTATTACACAAAAATTTTTTTTAATAAAATCTTTTCATTTTTAAATTTTCTCAACAGATTATGGGTGAGCTTTGAGAGAAAAGCTAATTTGAAAAATGGACAGAGTTTTTCCTTTCTTCAATCCAAATTGCCTTTCCAATTTTTGCCTACAATCAAACACATTTTTTTGATTGAGAAAATGAGTCTTCTCAAAACTCATACTTGTTAGATACCAAAAAATAAACCTCTTTTTACTTGTTTTATGTAGCATGTACTTGCACTAGTATAAAATTAAATAGGCTTGTTTGTTTGATTATGGGAAAAAATTAGAAAGGAAATTTGGGTGGAAAAAAGGAAAATGTCTGACCATTTTGTAAAAATGCCATTCGTTTTCTATTTATTTTGCTTGTTTTCGTTTCACTATTTCAATGGAATTTAGACGGATTTACGAAGATTTTAAAGATACTAGGGGAAGTGATGTTTCGGTTAGTTCTACATTTTGGAGTAAAAACCACGCTTATGTTAATTGGTTTTTATTTTTTTCAGTTTAAAATGCCATCGAAACACGAAAAAAATCGAAAAAGAGATTTGGATGCTGACACCTCCATTGAAGAAGACAGGGAAGAAAGTCGAAGACATCGTCGTTCAAGATCTCGTTCACCCAAAAAGTTTTTTTTTTATTTTTTTAAAATTTATTTTTTCAAATTTCAGGTCAAAGAGACGTAAGGAAGACGATTCCTCTCCTTCAAAAAAGTTTTTTTGAATTTAAAAAATTTTTTCTAAAAAATTTATTTTTAGTGAAGAGTCAATGTCAATTGAAGAAACAAACAAATTGAGGGCTAAACTTGGACTAGCCCCTTTGGATTTGGATGATAAAACAAACACGGAACCGGTGGAGAAGGAGGATGGAAGTGGGGAAAAGGTTTTTTGATTATTTTTTGAAAGTTCGGGTAGATGGTTTGATTCCAGTTTTGCGGACATCCTCTTCATACTTTTTTGTTATGATTTTTTTATTAGGACGGATTACTCATTGCAAAATTATTTTTGAGTAATTTTCTGAGAAAACGATGTGAAGGTATAAAGGGAAAAAGTCCGCAAAAATTAGTCCGCAAAACTGACTATTTATTACATTTAAGTAGGTCCTCAGTTTTTACATGTACCACAAATTTTCTTTTTTTTCTGTTTTGTATTGATGAAATTATTCTTTTAAATGCCTCTATCTTTTTTAAGGGTACAGCCCAACTGGGCGCGCGGCCATAACGGCGCATAGCCATAACTTGCTTCAGGATTTGAATCTTAACAAATTTGGTATAAACGATTCCACATCATATTGAGCTAAAGAGATCGGCATAAAAATTGATAAGAGCCAGAAATTTTCCAACAAGTTATGGCTTTGCGCCGTTATGGCCGCGCGCCTACTTGGGCGTGTCCTTTTTTTAAATTTTCCCTTTTACCAATTCATTTGCGAGTTAGGCAAATTTTAAAGGGCTTAAAATGTTGAATTTTATATTTTTTGATAATATAATACCTGTCAATAGGCTATGGATCATTTTACTTTCCGTTATTTTTTGCCGATCACTTTTCTCTTATTTTTCTCTTATTTTTTTAAATTTTCTTGTCGATTCGACCCATTTAAAAAATAAAAAATTTCAAGGTATTTACCGAAGACGGCGTAGAAATAGTGCACAAACCATCACGAAATTGGTCAGAAGAAAAACGTCAAAAAGAGCTTAAAGAAAAATTGGAAAACAAAAAGCGTCAAAGGGATTTACATTCAAAAGTGTTAAAATCAAAGAATTTGGCTGAGGAAGAAGACGAAGAAATTGAAAACACAAAAAAATGGATTGAAAGGTCGAGAAGGATTGAGGAGGAAATGAAAAAAGCTAAGGAAAAGGAAAAAGAATTGGAAGAGATGGATGAGTCTTTTGGAATTGGGGCTTTGCTTAGAGAGGAACAATTGAAAAAACTGAAGAAGAAAAGAGGAGGAAATGTGGAGGTTTTTTAATTTTCGGAATTTATATAGTCTGGGGTCAAGGGCGTAGCCAGGAGGTCGGTTTAGGGTATGCCAAAATTTTGGCTGTTTACTGTGACATTCTGAACGCAATTTTTTGCTTCTGTGGCTATAGCCCATCTCCTTTTCCCTCATTTCATATATAGCCCCAGAACCCCCCTGGCCACCACGTGTAAGGGTTTCTTGGTCTTAATTAAATACAATTTAGTCGTTGACATCTTTCACGTGATTAGGAAAAAGCACAATTTATTAAATTTATTTATTTTTCCATCCTTGTTGAAATTTCTGCGCTAGTTTTTAACCCAAATTTAATACATTTTTTGATTTACTATTCATATCCAAAAATGTAAATTTGAGGAAAAATGAGAAAAATGATCCTTTTTGAAATCGATGGATAATTTTTATTTTTAATAAAATTCTATTTATTTTTTGTTTCATAAACAAAATTTTCTTAATTTTTAGACGGAAACTTCTTCTGGTGGATTAATTGTTGGCCATTCTGTTCAAGACTTTCAAGAAGGAAGAGAAACAATTTTAGTTTTGCAGGACAAAAGTATTTTTTTTTTAATTTTTAAAAATTCTTCTAAAAAATTTAATTTAAAAGGTTTACTTCTCGACGGTGAAGACGCTGACGAAGAAATTTTAATAAATCCAAATATGGTAGAAAATGAGAGGACAAAATTAAATGTGGAAAGAAGAAAGAAAAAAGCAACGCATTACCAAGCTTATGAAGAAGAAGAAATTGATGAATTTGGACAAATTAAAAGGAAAGAAATTTTGGATAAATATAATGAGGGAATGGATGGAGAAAATAAAAAGAAGGAAACTTTTCGATTAGGTTAATTTTGAATTTTTTTGGGTTAGGGGACTGGGAGAGAGGAGTGAGGGGGCACTATGACATTGAATTTTTTGAGGGTAATTTTCGGTTTAGGGTACTTAAAGGGTGATCGGGTTCTACGCCATATTTTCTTGCTTTCAAAGGCTGCATGACTGAACCCCGAAATCCCTATTTATTTTTAGAATCTCCACAAACAGGATTGTTGAATCCTTTTGGGGTTATCAGTGTCGAGGCGGCTTCGCGTAGTTTTTCTTTAAAATGTTTCTTGGTTTATAAGACTAGAAGGATGAGGGAGTTATACGCCTTACTTTTTTGATTTCAAAATTGCTTGATTTAACACGGGAACCCAAATTTATTTTTGGAACCATCAAAAATGGGATCGTTGAACCTTTTTAAGTTTTTTCGAGTTCGGGAAAGAATTGGTTCCATATCTACTATGTGTCAGTAGAGGAAAGGGATTGCCTCGGGTACAGCTTTGCATGATGGGAGTACCAAGTGGGAATGGGGAACTTGGAACAGGGCTTGGAACAACCTTCACTCTAGAATCTTTATTACCAATTTTTAAGGATTTTGACAAACTTTTTCATCTCTGGGAATCCACGTTTTGACTATTTTTAGTTTGTCACGAAGCCTTTCCGGCTACATAACCTTTTTCTTTTGATTTTACCTGTTTATCCTGTTAATTCTGAATCTAAAAAAATTTTTTAAGACGAGACTGGACATTATGATTTGGATAAAGAAGCTAAGGAAGCAGAAGCTAAACGTAAATTAATGATGGTAAATAAAAAGTTTGAATCTTTGGGAGAGACGAAATACACTTTGGCGAATGAATTTTATACGGAGGTTTTCTTTTAATTTTTTTAAAAATTTTGGGAGAGCAACCAAGAAGGTCAAATTACACTAAAAGGTAATCTCCCAAAAATTTAAATTACCCATAAGATCAATTCCAGATTTAGGGCCTATAAGTGAGTTTTTGGGAAGATTCTGACGTTTGTGGTTATTAAGGGAAATGTTGGTAGATTTGGGAGGATTAAGATGGATTTGTTGGGATCAAATGACTAAAGGTGAACTCCAAAAATTTTAAATACCCATAAGATAAAATACAAATTTAGGGCATATAAGGAAGGTTTTGGGGAGATCAAGACGTATTTTGGATGTATTTTGCCTAATTAGGTTGGATTTTTGGGATTAATGGACAAATGATAGAAATTCTTTCGGGTGACCATCTTATAAGTCAAGGGGTGAGGGTAATTTGATTGTTTGGAGTTAGCCTTTTAGGATCATTTGACCTTCTAGGGTGACCCAATTTTTCAATCAAAAATTTTTTTATAAAAATTAAAGGAAGAAGTCATCCAATTCCGTCGTCTTAAGAAGAAAAAAACTTCAAAGAATTCCCGTAAAAAAGCATTAAAAACAGCAGAATTGGAACCTTTGGAAGAAACTGAAGAAGAGAAAAAAATTAGAGAAGAAAAATTGGCTGCTAGGAGAGCTCAACAAGAAATGGGGGAAGAGGGAGGAGGAAAATCTTTTCGTGATACAATGAAGGAATCGAATGGTTCTTCAAAAGTTGTTCGTTCTGTTGTGATGGAAGAGGGTGAAATTGTTGAAAGTAAAAAAGAGGTTTTCTTTTCTTAATAAAATTAATTTATGGTCCTTAGCATGGATGGGTCAGGTTTTGGATTGAGTTTTCAAACTTGCATTTGGGCAAGGGCGTCCCTCCTAAATTTTTTTATTTTTTCCATTTCAGGGAGGGGGCTATAACCCCACAAGTCACCCTTCCCCGGCTACGCCCTTGTCTTAGGTTCGGGAATAGCCCGAATTCAGGGAAACCTGGCTCATCCATAGTCTTTAGGCTAAAGTTAAATTAACAATAAGATTTTTTGTAAATCTCGCCCATTAGAGATCTGTCTGACAATAATCAATCAAATCATTTTTTGGGGTTCCTTGAGTATTTTTCGGGCCGTGATAAAAATTTGGATAGGATAGCGTTTGAAATCAAGATTATGATTCTTTCCAAATTTCTTTCCTCTAGTCCCAAAGACAATTTTAGTTATTTTTTATAAATATTTATAAACCTATAAAATATTTTCCAGTTAAAACAATCAAAAGATTCCATTGCCATGCCTCCCCCAGATCAGACAAAATGGAAAAAACCGAAAGTTAATGTTGATGTTAAAATGTTGGATATATTAGCTGAAAAAATTAAAAAGAGAGAAGAGGAGGAGGACGATGAAGAAGGTTTTTTAATTTATTTTTAGGGATTGGACTTTAATTTAGGGATTGGACTTTTAATTTTAACCTTGGATTTTTGATTTCTATATGTGAAATTCAAAAGGTTTTCTAAACGTTGTTAACCCTCCTTCCCCCCCCCCCCCCCCAAACTAATTTCCTTCGTCTGTTTAATCTGCCTTCCACAAAAATCATCTGACTTCACTATTAACAAAAATTGTGAATGGGAGTTTATGCCAACTCGACCAATCATTTATTCATGATCAGGGCGTCACAGGATAGGGAAAAAATTCGAGTCGGGCTTTTCATGGCTTTTCAATATTTTCTTGGTATCTGGTGTTGGATTTCTGATTGAAAAAAATTACTGGGCTTTAAATCAACTCGTGATATCCTTATTCATGGCGGGTGAACACTCAGACTATTTAAGCTTTTTTAAACTTGATTTTTCCTTAACAATTTATTTGAATTTAGTCCTATCCCTATATATTTTTCCAAAAAATTTAAAAAAAATTTTTTCTAATTCAGAATTTCTTCCTACCAATGTCGCACCAATACAAATAGAAGACGACGATGCTAGTGAAGAATTAAATGCAATTTTGGCCAAAGCTCGTTTACTAAAAAATTCTGAAAAAATTGTTAAAAAAGAGGTTACTTATTTTGCGTCAGACAGCAGTGATGATGAAGATATGGAAGAACAAAAAAATTCGAATGCAATAATTTTTGACGCCACATCAGAAAAATACAAAGCTATAGGGGGTGGAGGTTATGGAAATGATCAACAGATGAACAAAAAAATTGTAAAAACTGAAATTGAGGAAGAAATGGAAATTGGGAGTGAAATAGCTTCGAGTAGTTTGAAAAAAGAATTTTTAAAAAGGAGAAGAACTGATAGTGGGTCTAGTGGAGAATTTGAAAGAATGGATGAGGAGAGAGATGGGGATGGATCTGATAGTGATGAGGGTATTTTTTTTAATTTAATGTTCAGGGGGGTATTAGAGGATCAGATAAAGGGTTTGGCTAGCTCCTATTATTTTTGATAGTTTCCCAACGCCCACTGGGTCTGGGATCATTCCCTTTTACTTGAAATTTCTGAAAGTTATAGCCAATTTTTAAAAATGAAAAAAAAACGATTTTAACTTTCAGAAACTTCGAGGGATAGAGTAAGGAACGGCCCCATATCTCAACTTCGCAACACCAAGAAAATCGAATTTTCTGTTGATAGACCAGCGCCCTGGATTTTTTTAGGGGAATTTGATTAAGAGGGCGGGGGGACTTCTAATCCCCCTCTTCTATTTTAGACCCAGATGTTCAATTATAGAAACTAGAACGGTTCTATTCGGTCTCTGCGAGAATCGATTCTCGGATCCGCCAAATTTCTAGAATAATTGGGAGCTTGAACAATACAACAGTTTTGTACACTAAGCTCTAGTTTAACTAGGAATTGAAAATTTCCTCGGAATTCCAAGCCAACATTCTGAAAATTTTTTTAAGAACCTTGAATTTTTCTAAATTATTATTTTTCTAAAAAATTTTTTCAATTTTTAGAAAAATATTCAGCAACCAAAAATTATTCAAATATTTTGGGAGAAGAAAAGGATGTTACTAAAGGTGTAGCAGCAATGTTGAAACTTGCTGGACAAAAGGGATATTTAGAATCTGTAAACAAAAAACGTCATGGAGAAGGGTCTTTAAAACATTTGGAAAGTAAAAGATACTCAAAAGTCGAGCAAGGACGTTATGACATTGAAGACAAAACTATGAGAAAATTGGAAAGGATGGGGACTACGGGGACTGGTCCAACTAGACCATTTCCTGAGAAGACTGATTACACGCCTAAGGTGTTTTTTTTGAAAATTTTCGAAAAAAAAGAATTGGATTAAATCGATTCCCTCGGACCCGACAAATTTCTAGAATAATTAAAACATTAAAAGAGGGGGGGGGGGGTGGGGTTCCCAACCCTTATTTCTGAATTTTTTTGGGGAGTTGAAAAACATAAAATGAATCAAAAGAAGCATTCCTTACCCTCCAATTTTTATTTTTCAAACATTTAACTGAGAGAGGGATTGGGGTACTAGGGTAATTAGTTTTCCTTTTGTGAATATTCTAAATGGGATAAGAGGTGAATAGGAAATGACCAAGTTGCCGGAAACCGTAAATGACTCAAAAGTCGGAAATCAGCCTAAAATTTCGGAAATCGGAGGAGGGGGGACGTCGGGAATCGAAATTCCGATTCACCCCTGATGGGGATAAACTAAAATTAGAAGAAAACAGAAAATTTGAAAATTTTTTCTTAATGTTAGCTGAATAGAGGCTGGGTAGATTTAATGATCCTGGGATCTTTCAAAAAATTTTTTACGAAATTTTGAATTTTTCTTTTTAATTTTTCCCCATTTTTTAGATTGAAATAAATTATTCTGACAAATCTGGACGTGTTTTAGAGCCTAAAGAAGCATTCCGTGTATTATCTTGGAAATTCCACGGAAAAGGTCCTGGAAAGAAACAAGGGGAAAAACATAAAATGAAAGTGGACAAGAGGGAGAAATTGAAGAAAATGAATTCTCAAGACACTCCTTTGGGTATAAATATTTTTATTAAATCCTCGCTATAGGGAACACCTTTGGGTATTTTGTCAGCCTGTATTTTTATTATAAAATTTTTTAAACTTTTTCACATATTTTTCAACTTCCAGGTACACTCAACAAACAATTGAAAAAACAAGAACAACTTTCTTCTGCCTATCTTTTATTAAGTGGAAGGGGAGATGCTGCTCCCCTCCAAAAAGAATAATAATTATAAAATAAAATTGTTTGGATGACTAAATAATTTTTCTTACATACATATTTGTATTGAAGTTGTTTAAAATAAAATTTATTTCGATACTATAATTGGAAAGTTATTAAAATATTTATAAATTCCAAAGGATTAGTAAATAGGTCACTGGTGTTGTGGTGTGGTGGCTACTATAAAAGCCTCATAATTGTCAGTCCGGGTCAGGGCTGGGCGAAATAAAAATTTTTTTTTATTTCGAATCGAAACGAAATAAAAAATTTTCTATTTCGTTTCGGACGAAACGAAGCGAAATAAAATAAAATAAAAAAATTTATTTTTTATTTTTTAAAATCTTTTAATCAATATTTAATTGATAAATATTGACTCCAAAAGCTAGATCCGTGACAAAAGCATAACAGAAACAAGAGTGGGCCATACAAATCTTCCGCTATCCACCTTAATCCCTTTAAATCGACAGATATCCACCTTAATCCTCCGATATCCTTTTAAAATACGAAACAAAACGAAACGAAATATCGCCCAGCCCTGGTCCGGGTCTCCTAATTGTCTCCTAGAATTACCCCAACCTTATTCTATTTCTTCAAACGTATTGTATTTCTATTGTGTAATAAACACATTGTATTGCGTATTTATTGTTTTGACACACACAACAACTGGAAGGGTGTGCACAAGAATTTTTGGAGTATTAAGCTCCAATAATTTTTGGAATTTTGTGCTCCAGAGTAAAAAAGTCATTATGCAAAAAGAAAATTCAAAATATCGAAATTGTAAATATTTTTCAAAATTTTCGAAATCTTACAAAAATACCCTCGAAAATAAAAATCGGAAGATAATTTGAGGGTATTTGTGTGAAGTATGTTATCGCCCTTACTGTAGATTCTCAAAGTTAGGATTAGGGTTGGCGAAACCTGGAAATTCTACGGATATCAAACACCTGGATCTGAATGAAAAAATTTGAATATCCGGTTTAAAAATATTTTTAAATTTATTATTAAATTAATTTAAAATTATTTCTTACTTCATCCCTTTCATTAATTATTCAGTAACTTTATTTATTGGTTAGCAAATTTCCGGTTAAATGTTAATTTTGGTTATTCCACAAGTAATAATTACTAATTTTAACAAAAATCATCTGACTTTATTTTGCTTTTAAAATATATTTATTTTTTATTTTAAATTAATCATGTAATGTAAATATCTATCAGGGATCGTGGCGACATAAAAAATAAATTCACACCTTCAGTAATTAGCAATTCTTTCCCAAAAAAATATTTAAGCACAGGGATATTATTCGTGATCATTTTTGAGGGAGAGTACTTACAATTGATGAAATAGAATTTATATTTAATGCTGACTATTAAAAATTTATCAGATTTGTGAATTAAATGATTCACAAAACTAAAACAATTTATTTTTATTTCATTTCGTTATGCTTATAAATATAATAATTTTTCATTAATTACTCTAAATTAATACTTTCACTTTAAATATTTAAAATAATTATTAAATAATTTAAAAATGTTCTCTTATGTTGTAGTACTTTTAATCTGCTTAATAATTCCAATGTGAATTTTTTTAAAGCTAAAACAAAGATTTAAATAAAAATGAATAAATTCAGAAATGTATATGGAAGTAAAATTGATATGAATATTATTGGTACAGTGTACTGTAACTTTCAACTTGGAGATAAGTCTGTTAAAGCAAGACTTCAAGGCGCATTAATTGAATTTTGGGAATGTTAGCTTTCGAATATTTAATTTTATTTACAATTATAATTGATAAATAGTTAAAATAATTAAATTAAAATTAAGGGGATCTATTTGGACATGATAAACTCGATGATGAAAAACTGACAGATGAAAATGGGATTTTTGATGTAAAAGGAGACCATAATGAACCTGGGGAAACGCCAGCTCCTTACATTATTGTCTACCATCAATGTTACACCCCAGGAAGTAAAAGTCAAATAAAAGAAGTAATTTATTTTTAAATTAAACAAAAAAATTTGTTAATACTCTACCATTTTATGAATAGTTAATTAAGTTTATAAAGTTTTCATTTTATTAATGTATTTTTATATAATTTCACATTATTGAAAAAAGGCATCAAAATGTTGAGCCGTAGGAACTAACAATTAGGAATGCAAAATTTTAATAGAATTTATTGAAAATTACCTATTTATTTTTTTTATTCTAGGGTTACCAATATGCGACTACGGTGTATTTACCAGTTAATGAAAACGGAAATACTGAAGGAAAATTTGATTTGGAAATTAAGGTTGGTATAGCTGTGTCTGCTAGCATGCGTGCTGAAGGAAAGGAGAACAAGGAGATAACAGGAGATAAAAAAATCACAACTGATATTGTTAAAATAAAATAATTTTTACATTTTGTTTTTAGTTTTAATATTTTATTATTTTGATCGTGTCCCATGCTTAACAAATTCTGTTTATTCATGTTATTAATTAAATAAATATATATTTTTTAAATAAATTATTTTGTAAAGCATATAGCTATTTAATTCCTAAGGCTGTGCAGTAGGCGGGTGGTGTGATGTATAACGCATAAGTCCGGTCTACTGAAGATGCTGGTTTGCTCCCAGCCGCCGATTCACCTTTTGCACTAGCTAAAGGAGAGAAATAACTCTTCAAGCTGCTTTAATATTGAGGGGTAAAAAATTATAAAATCACTCGAAACAATTTAGATTTTCGTGTTTTAGTGGTAGAAAAAAATAGAAAATTTCTGTTAGCAATTCCTTTAAGTTCGAGTAGAAAAGTAAACAGAACAAAGTGTATAAATTATTTTTCATCGGAGTCTCATTAAATATTTTTGCTTAATTTTGCTTTCAATTCAGTGACTTATAAAACGTTGAGCTATTAAGTAATAAATTTTGTCGCTGGAATTTTTTTCACAAATTTCTTTCTGAGATTTACTTAATAAAATATTTACTTATTTGTAAAATGCAACAAAAAAGAAAAGATTAATAATTGAAATAATTATGTTCCTGAGATCGTGTTTTTAAGATCTTGTACTGAGTATTAACGAAATTAACCGAGGATTGTGGTTGAATGGAGTATTCTTTAGTTAACTATTCCTTGACCAGTGCTTGGAAATTTCAATTTTGCACGTACTCGTACTTCGTACCACCCGTGTTTTTGTGTACCTCTTACTTACTCTTACTTGAGAAAAAACTAATAAAGTAAAATTTTTATGAATTTTTTTAGCCAGGACATCTAATTTCAAATTTTAAGCGTTGTATGCAATAATTTTTTAATCTTGGAAGGCTTTGAAGCCATAAATCCTTAAGTACTTTACACAATTTATTTTGTTATTTTTATTGGTAGAATTTTCGCTTATAAAATCACAGAATTTCAGTCTCATTTTATTTTACTCCTATTTTATGCTTTCCTGGTATGCTCACTGATCTTCAATATCTCGTCACTCGGATATTTTTTATAAAAGCGGATATAAAATATGGCATTTCCTTAATGTTAGACCCGTAATGTTCGATCCGGATAGACATTCTCTCAATTAAATAGCCTTGCTATATTATTTATTTATTTATTAATTTTGAAATATAGCCGGCATTTAAATAAAAATTTGCACTTTATATTTACTAGAAAATTCATATGATTAATCCGCATGCCATTAAATATTTTGAAATTGTACTTTATTTTATTTATTATATAAATCGGCGTGATAAAAAACTTATTTGCACTTTATATTAATTGACTCTTTTAATATGATTCGTTTTAAATATTTTAAAATATTTTATTATTACCAAAAGCGCATTAATAAAAAGGCAAATATTTATTTTTAAATGCCGACTATATTTCAAAATAAATAGATAAAGAAATATTGCTTCATGGCCATTTAATGGAAAAAAGTTTGATGACTATATATAACTGATATTTTTATTATTGATATCCCCAAAATTATTTTTAATATTAAAATTTAAAATGAATAAATTTATTATTATTCTACTCTCTTATTTGGTTGTTCTGTTGAATATCCAAATCAACGGTAAAATAGTTGAGGTTGGTTTAAAAATAAAAGAAGATTGGGAAGAAAAAAGAGAATTTATTTATTTAAAAAATATTCAAATAAAGGAACGTTTTGTATTGATAATGAATGTAAAACGAAAAAGTAGAATAGTTGAATATCTTTACAAGAATTCTGGATCGTTTAGTAAAATTGAAATAGATCCTGCTGAAAAAGTTTTTATTGCTAAACTAAATAATTGTTCGAAATACGCCACTCAATTAAATACGAGAATTTTGATTGAAATTGCCAATAATGAAATTGTTAAGAAATGTTTGGAAAACTTGGGAAAACAGGTATTTTATACGTGTCCGGTAGTCTCGTCATAAGTTTGTTTCGTCAGAGGACATTTTCGTTAGAGGACATTTTCGTCAGAGGTCCCCGTTAGAGGAAAATTTCGTTAGTGATGAGTTTCGTCAAGGTCCTTTGCGTCAGTAAGGCTCCCTTTTTAAAAATCCAATTAAACGGCGGTATCATGACTTATACTAGGTTATTTGTTTCTAGAACGATTTGGACAATTGAGTTGTCATTCAAAAGAGCACTGAAAACTGATTTTTTGGTGAAGAATTCGTGTATGCAAATGATAGCACGTTCGAATAAGCTCGACGAGCTGAGGCGAGATCTACAAGCTGGGCCTCCCTGTGATATTTAAGGATTCAGGAGCCGTTAATTCGGTCCTGGAATGCCGGATAAACCTCTTCCGTGGCTAATTTGACTCAGGATCAATTTTCCAAATCGATCCATAAACAAATAACCTAGTATAAGTCATAATAACGCTTTAAATTAGATTTTTAAAAAGGAAGCCTTACTAACGAAAAGGGCCTCTGACGAAAACATCTCTGACAAAAATGTCCTCTGACGAAACTCATCTCTGAGGAGACTACAGGGCACCATTTTATATTTGATTATTCGAAATTTATGCCTTCAATATTACACAAATCTAATATCTAAGATTCGCCTAAATA